GAGGGGAAAAAAACTAAAGGTATGAAGATATAAAAAGGCGAGCAATTAATCAAGGCCTGGTCAAAGAGTTCAGCCATTAAAGTGAAAACCCACACCCGGTTAAAAATAATTTCTTCAAGAGGAGTGTAAAGAAGTCGAAAGAAGGAAGTGAGGTCTCTCATATCTTTTTCAGATTAAGATCTCTTTCCACGTAGGTAATGATTTGAAAAGCGCTTCTCCAAAAATGCTCAAAGGTCTTGTGTTATTTATGGAAAATATCTGGCAATAGATTTCTTTTTAGATCTTTATCTTGTGTAAAGCTCTGCTCGGGATATATTGAGAGAGAGAATATCAGCATTCATTCGAACGAAAATATTCACATCGTCTGCAGTATTCGAGGCGGTAGGGGGGGGGGAGAAAAGAATAGCGGAAGAAAATGCCCTGGCAGAAAATCTTCTCTCTAGAAATTAAATGAACTTTTACAGCCAATTTAATTTACGCTGTAGAGCCACAAATTCATGTTATTGGATATTGGATACTTATTTGACCATTTACATATNACGTAGGTAATGATTTGAAAAGCGCTTCTCCAAAAATGCTCAAAGGTCTTGTGTTATTTATGGAAAATATCTGGCAATAGATTTCTTTTTAGATCTTTATCTTGTGTAAAACTCTGCTCGGGATATATTGAGAGAGAATATCAGCATTCATTCGAACGAAAATATTCACATCGTCTGCAGTATTCGAGGCGAAAGGGGGGGGGGAGAAAAGAATAGCGGAAGAAAATACCCGGACAGAAAATCTTCTCTCTACAAATTAAATGAACTTTTACAGCCAATGTAATTTCGGCTGTAGAGCCACAAATTCATGTTATTGGATATTTATTAGAGTTGTGCAAAACGAATCATCCAAGTGATTCGAATCAATAGAAACCGTTCACTTTCATATCACTTACTTATTCGAATCACTTATTGATTCGAATCAGTTGCAAGTTGGTGATTCTTATCACAGAATCAATTCAGTGGTTCCAATCACTGATTTGAATCATCGAATCAGTAACCAACTCCAATATTTATTTGAATGATCAAGAAAAGAAAAATAATATTTTTTCAGTTAACCTCGAATTAAATTTAATATCTTAATTTACGTTTTTTAGAAATATATCTAATTACCTTCGAATTTTTTAATTGCATCGAATTCAGGAGCAACGTCCGAATCGAATCAGACATTTAAATTTGTGTATTAGATAATGTGGTGCTTTTTGCTGTGTTTTTCCTGGCTTCTTCTTTCAAAATTTCCTCCCCCCCCCCCAGNNNTTCAAAATTTCCCCCCCCCCCCCCAGATTTTACCGACAAACCCTTCGTTAATAAGTAAAGGAAATAACTTATCAATCACCCAATTCTATTTGGTACATTATAGAGCGTGTAGTGAGAAACAACTAAAAAATTATAGAAATCTTAAAAACTCTATTTTGAATTATTTGAAACGTTTGCAAAAAATTAAGAAAATAAATGTAATGTCTTGATAAAATGTAATGCTATGAATCTTTTATATTCTCTAAAAAGTGTTTAAAAACAACTCGAAATGAATTCTTAAGAAAATGGATGCCGCTCAAAATACGCATTTAAATGCATGGACAAAAATGCTTGTGTTTTTTAAATATATATTTTACGAAAAGAAAATTATGCTTCTTCAATACTTAACCCAAATTCAACACCGAGGAAATTATGTACTTATTTTTCATTACTTATTTAAACACTTACTTATTTAACCATTTACTTATTCACTTACTTAAGCACTTACTTAAGTATTTACTTATTTAAACATTCGTTAATTAACCATTTACTTATATACTTACTTATTTTACTATTTACTTATATACTTACTTATTTATACACTTATTTAAACAGTTACTTAGTTACTTACTTATCTAAATATTTACTTATTTAAACACTTACTTCTTTAATCATTTACTTATTTACTTACTTATTTAACCACTTATTTGACCATTTACATATTTACTTACTTATCTAAGCATTTACTTACTTACTTACTTAAACAAAGTACGAAGGTTGACTGTTAGTGTAACTTTTCAGGCATCCCTTGAAAAACGAAATTAAATTATGTCCATTTATTAAAATTGTTATGCCCATTTCTTTAAACATCCATTTCGACCTGCGTCCATTTTGGTAAACAAGCGTTTCGAGTTGTTCCCATTTTCTTATACACGCATTTCTACCTGTGCTCAGAATGACAGGCGATATTTATGCAAGACTAAGGAGCTCCACCCCTTCTTGTTTTGCTTATTATTCCTCGCCGTCCTAATTGTTTCTTGGCGTTAAATAGATTTATGCTTCGAAATGAAATATTATTGAATTGAAGCATCTCCCAATTCTTTATGGTATTAACGCACATTTAATTTCAGAGAACAAATATCTCATACAACCTAATAGTTGTAAGCTAGGGCATGCGCTGGTTAACTATTTACGTTACAAAAGTCAACATTTTTTAAGATTTTGCACTGACGGACTAAGATAATCTTATAGTTAAGGTAATCTTATTGGTTTTAATCATCAATAATTCCATTATAAACTATTCTATTGTTTGATGGTTACCAATATAAGTAGCCATCACCCTAATGTAGGAATTCGGACTGATTTATGATGGTCCGACATAAAAAAATAAAAATTGTTTTGATAGTATATTCCTGAGAACCAACAAGAATTCTCGTTAATACATCATGGAATGTATAATTGGAACCATCATGGATTGTTGGTCCATGAGAATCAAACTTCTCTTCATGGTTAACTATCATAGTATTCAAGCAGCATTTTACATCACGGAATGATGGAAGTTTGCTGGCATATCAAACACGCAAAATGGAAAATGTTGGGTGATGGTGACCATCAAATGACGTGGGGCCATCATGAATCGCGCTGAAATCAGCTTAAACCATCAAACTTTTTTGATGGGACCATCAAGAATTTTGACTTGGATAGAAACGCATGCGTGAAGTCGCCTGTAGACATCCCATTAAATCTAATCCTCAAATTAATCGAACATGATAATAAATCCAATACTTAAAACCATTGTAACGCTAATACACCATGCACAACCACGTGATCAGATACAACCGTGTGTTTAAGTACCCCATTTAGTACTTGAAGAAGGCGTGACATATGACTTCAACGCCCACTGCTAAATAACGCATTAAAGTTGGGTTAAGTTAGAATGTAACTTCATAAGTTAGAAAAGTTAGAATGTAACTACATAAGTTAGAATGTAACTTCATAAGTTAGATAAGTTAGAATGTAACTACATAACTACATAAGTTAGAATGTAACTACATAAGTTAGAATGTTACTACATAACTACATAAGTTAGAATGTAACTTCATAAGTTAGAATGTAACTTCATAAGTTAGAATGTAACTACATAACTACATAAGTTAGAACGCAACTTCATAAGTTAGATAAGTTAGAATGTAACTACATAACTACATAAGTTAGAATGTAACTACATAACTACATAAGGTTAGAATGTAACTTCATAAGTTAGATAAGTTAGAATGTAACTATATAACTACATAAGTTAGAATGTAACTTCATAAGTTAGATAAGTTAGAATGTAACTTCATAAGTCAGATAAGTTAGAATGTAACTATATAACTACATAAGTTAGAATGTAACTTCATAAGTTAGATAAGTTAGAATGTAACTACATAAGTTAGAATGTAACTTCATGAATTAAATGCAGAGCCGTATCACATTAGCTGAAATATAATACTTTTCCCGTCTACTTCTTAACTTAGATTTATTATTTGTTTATGTATTTTATGGTAACCGTGATGTATTTTTGTTTGGTGTACCTGGCAACCTCGATGCAGCTTGTTTATGTTCCGCATGGCTTTGTGCCTGTTTTTGTGTTAAGTCTCAGTGTAAATATATAGTGAAAGAATTTAGAATGTGTCACTTCAGAGAATTGATACTTGACGGGCTTGGCTTACTCGATATAGAATGGAAAGAGTAGTTGCTAGCGTAAATAAATGGAACGTTACAACAACCAATCAGGATCGAGATAAATATTTATACAGTTTTAGTATTGGGGGGGGGAACATTTCTCACTTTATCCACTATTTGAATTTCACGATGGTACCGCAAACGGTTCTAGAGATTTGGAAGGACAATATGTTTATTTTTTTAATTATCGATTATCACAAGCGATGTTCACATACTACGAAAGGACGCTTGCCGCGAATCTTATCACAGTGTTTAATGAGAGTTCTTTGAAATTGCAATATAGTATCATATCTGGATTCCCTCCATTGCGCTAATGCTAAATGTATAGAAAAATTCAAATAGTTTAGTCAAAATATCCCACACTGAGAAAGAAAAAAAGGAGGAGAAAAATAGAGAATAAAAAAATAAAAGGAAAAGGTTTGTGGGGGTTTTACCTTTTTTTAATCTATATATTATTTATTTACTTGTATTGGCTAGATCATTAAAACGGTTAGTTTAATCGATAGCTATTTTTCTAAAATTCATATTATGCTTTGTTACAAAAATAAAAAATAAAATATAAATTTAAATGAAAAAAAAATTGAACACAATGCATTTTTAATGGGGCTGTGTAAAAATAAATAATTTCGAAAAATAAAAACAGAAAATTTCAATTAACGATTTCTTGTGTCTAGAAACTGATCAATTCAAATTGTGCTCCCGTCTCGAATCGAACACAGTGTTTACATAAAACACCCTTCGTGGATCATGAATTAGAGTCTCCTAGTTAATGGGGGAGACTTTCGAGGTTTTCCCCTACATGTAACGAAAATGTGAATAAGTTCCATAAAAAATTCTTCCCAGAAAGCTAGTACTCCCCAACGCTTGATCCAAGAGTTCTCTTGTCTTCTGTGTTAAATGCAAAACTACAAGACCAAGTAGTTCAACATTGATAGAAGGCCGGTTAAAAGCCACTTTACATAAATTATAAAGAATTAAAAATAAAAAAAACGTGAAACTTACCCAAATGAATGACCGCAGAGACAAGCATTGCCCAATTAACAAACAGAAGGATTAACATCCTGATGCTAAGGTAATCGCTTACAGCATCTCTCCTCATCCATCTGAAAAATAATTCATTTTCTTTTATCAATTTATTTCATTCTGCGAGTAAATAGACACAAAAGAGATCAATGCACTGTAAAGTTCGAACAGCCACTACATGTATTGCGAAATTAATCCATACTGTTTCATTGCAATATTAAATACAGGGTGTTTATATAGTCCCGGACCCATTTTGATGTTTAATAACTCATAAAATAATAAAGATGGATTAAAATTAATTGCATAAATGGTTAGATAGACCCAAAAAGTTTCATGATCCTTGTCAATGAACTTCCACGTGTGCCTCCTTCGTGTCACGGAGAATATGAAGTCGATAGTCAATTTCACGCCAGGTAGCGGCAAGCACGTCGGCATCCATGTCGGCGAATTGGACCTCCTCGCCCAATCCATCTTCCTGGAAAATGGTCATTCAAAGAACTACGAACGATGATACCCTAATGAGGTGGTGCACCATCTTGTTGCAGAAAGACATGTGGCTGAAGCTCTCCTAGTTGTGGAAATACGAAGGTATTATCGAATACGAAGGTATATGTGGGTATCATCGTTCGTAGTTCTTTGAATGACCATTTTCCAGGAAAATGGATTGGGCGAGGAGGTTCAATTCCTTGGCAACCTAGATCACCTGATATAACACCGCTGAACTTTTTTCTTTGGGGATTTGCAAAGGACAATGTTTACAGGAGGATCGTGTCGAACATTGATGACCTAAAAGTCAGAATTACAACCGTAATAACCTCCGTGAATGCCGACATGCTTGCCGCTACCTGGCGTGAAATTGGCAATCGACTTGATATTCTCCGTGCGACGAAGGGGGCACACGTGGAAGTTCATTGACAATGATCATGAAACTTTTTGAGTCTCTCTAACCATTTATGCAATTAATTTTAATCCATCTTTATTATTTCATGAGTTATTAAACATCAAAAACGGTCCGGGACTTAATAAACACCCTGTATAAATACCGAGGAGTGGGATTGAACCTTAAAAAAAACATCAGTGAAGGGTGTACAGGGCAAATGTATAATGCGGGAGCTTGCCCTTAAAAAAAACATTAATGTAGATAGAGCATACCGGGTACTTAACTAGACATAGTATGCATTTCGGACATTTACCAAAGCAGCGACTATGTGATTGTCAACATTCACCGGTGGAAGTCAACAACCACCCATTTCTGTTATTCACAGTTACATATATACTCTACTCTCTCAAATATTCTTTTAAATGACTACATAGTAAAAATCACCCCCTTGGAATCTGAGAGTGAGATATTAAAGAAGGAAAGAAGGGATTTTATGTAGACAGTAAAGTTAATAACTTTCCTCTCAATCCCCCAGCGGGCATTAAGAGTCAATCCCCCTCCCCTCCTTCCTGAGGTAGGTACGCAGTCTCTTCGGATTCTCTCTCTCTCAATCGGATCTTGAAGAAACGGTTCGTTTCTCTTTTCCAGAATTTTCTTGAGTCAACACTTTCAGCTGGTTTTAATTTAAGAGGAGCCCTCGTAACCATGTATGGGGAAGGAAAAAAAAGTAACGGTGAAACATCCCACAGAAAGGGCACCACTTCACAATTAATTGAAATTAACAACCTAATCGAATATGGGCATTGATTCCAGATTATTAAATAAAGTAGGACACACCGTTTATAGCGAAGATCTGGGAAGACGGAAAAATAACTCGCTAAATCAGGTCACTCGCTAAATCTAACACAAAAAAAACAGTTTACTTGAATTATCGGGATTATCTTAAATTATCTTGATCTCTAAGAAACTTCAATAATTTTAACTTTTCTACATTTTAAAGAGCTGTATAAAGAACAAATTTTTATGAAAGTTCTTTTACTCTTGAATCAGGAAATGCTTCCGTAATCAATGACGTAAATTCCAAACCCCTCAATATTCTTTCTTCTAGAATTGAGACAAGGAACTGGCCTGTTTAGTTCGCATTTTCAATTTCTTTTAAAGGTTCTCCATAACTTTCTCTACGTCTGAATCACCGAAATTAATTTCGCAATTATTATGCAACAAAGTAACATTTAATATTAAACAATTGATAATGATGATACTGTAATAGTTTTTCATTATATTTGATACTAATTCTTTGGTCCGAAATTATTTCTCTTGTGAAATCAAAGAAAAAGTTTCTCGCTTTGAGAGTCAATTCTAATGCATTGCACAAAAGAAAACAATATATTTTGCTAATTGAATTCGGGATTTCGTTATAAGTGAGTTCTACTGCATTTATTTCGATGTAATGAGATAAGTCTTTAATATATCAAACGAAGTACAGGGATTCATTAGAAGTTGAATTACAGTATACTCTCGATATCTAGAGGGCGCTAAGATAGCGAGTTTTCGCGATAACAAGTTCAGATCTAAATATGTTCTATGAGATAGAAAAATATATTCTAAAATATTACTCTAAAAAGGAAAACATAAGAAGAACTACTGATAAATATGTATGCTATGATAATTGACGATAAATCCAAATACAACAACGATAGTTTTATTTTCAAAGTAAAACAAAAAATATTATGCATTAAGTAGAAAATAATTAGTTTACAATAAACTTACATTGTGATTTTTCCGAAAAAATTCTTTTTCTGTTTCGAAAAAAATTGGACAAAGCAAGGTTTTGAGAAGAAACCTTTCGTTATAGGAATTCAAAATTAACATTATTTAAGCCTGACATGCACCTTTTTGCTACACTAATGACTATTAGTTTATAGTTCTATTTGTTTTGGGAAACATAAATTCTTTCTTAAACTATTTTAAAATAGAAATAACAGCCTGATGACGTCATAATATTTAAATTAAATAGTACAGTATGATCTCGATATCTCAAATTTGAAGGGACGCTAAAAAAGTTTTCGAGATTTAGAACTAAATATGTTCTAAAAAGTAAAGGCATGAAACATAATAATAACTTATAATAAATACGTAATGATCGTTGACGATAAATCTAAATACAACAACTATAATTTTATTTTCAAAATATGACAAAAACTATTACGCATTAAATAGAAAATAATTGGTTTACAATAAACTTAAATTGTGATTTTTCCACGAAAATTCATTTCATATTTTGAAAAAAATTCGTCCTAACAAGGTTTTGAGAAGAAATTGTTCGACATAAAAGTTCAAATTTTCATTAGGTGGATATATAATACCAAGGAGAATTTTTTTTTTTTATATAGCAAGGTTTTTGAGATATTGAAGTTCGAGATATCGAGAGTATACGGTATATCTTTTTTTATAATACAAATCTTCTATAATAATATTATCATTGTATATAATGCCTGTTAAAAGGGTTAACCAGGTAATAAGTTGAATATTATTTTAATAGAGTGTCTTTAAATTGTGAACGTGTATATGATTATTTTATCAAAACTATTGGAATTAAGAAAGTTAAGTTTTTAGAATTCTTTAAGTGTCCTAATAAAACTATGAAACATAAAAAGTTCTGTAAATTTTAAATTAATCCTCATATATTAATCAATAAATAAAAAGGTATCTAAAAGCTTTTGAATTAATATTTTATTCGGGGAATATGTTTTGTCCGGAAAAAAAATTCTTCCAAAATGTTGAAAGAAACTGGAAGAAAACTGACAAAATGGAAGAAACGAAACGGATGAACTAAAAATGCTAAATACAACTGTTTAGCAATAAAGTATTATAAGTATAGCTTAAATTGAATGCACCAGAAAATTAAGTTTTTCACATGTATTCTTATTATTTATTTCTATTATTAAAACATAAATTCTTGAAATAAAACTTGAGAATGAACTTTATCTAAAATATTCTCTAAAAATGTATTCTCTTCATTCTCGAAAAAAATAACATAAATTCTAATAATTCTAAATAATTCTCTAAAATCGAACGTAAATTCTTGAAATAAAGCTTAAAAATAACTTCAATATCTAAAATGTACTCTAAATATTTATTCTCTACTTCATGACATAAATTCTAATAATTCTATATAATTTTCTATCATCTAATATAAATTCTTGAATTAAAACTTAAAAACGAAGTTCAATATCTAAAATGTATTGTAAAAATTTGATCTCTTCATTCTCGAAAAAAATAACATAAATTCTAATAATTCTACATAATTCTCTAGTATCTAACGTAAATTCTTGAAATAAAACTAAAAAATGAAATTCAATATCTAAAATGTACTCTAAAAATTTATTCTGTTCATTCTTGAATTACATAACACAAATTCTAATAATTCCAAATAATTCTCTAACATAAATTCCCGAAATAAAACTTAAAAATGAAGTTCACTATCTAAAATGTACTCTAAAAATTTGTTCTCTTTATTCAATTAACGTTTTCCAAGCATGATATTGTCTAAATTTTAAGATAACTTTGATATTTCTATGCTAAAAACCAGTTATCCATTGTTTTTAACGACAGTGTGACAGGTTCACCTGAGTGATTTTTTTTACTGCCCTTTCAAGTTGTGGAATAACCGTGATTGACGTTTAGAGAGTAAACAAGGTTCATAATTTAACCCGGGTTCCGACCCTCAGCTGTCTCTCATTTTGCCTTATGACATTTGACCCCCGTTCTCTTAAGAACTCACTCGAGATTGAACATAGCGAATAATAAATAACTCCTAACATTCTGCCCTAAAAAATGCCAGAAAGGGAACACATCCTGCGATAAAAGTTTGTCAAACTTGTAACAACCTATTTCCTATGAATAGGTGCCCGCCTCCATGCGAAGTGTTCCGCTAATGAGATAGAAACAAACAGCAGGATACTTTGTCACCATAAATCCTACCACGAAAACAAGTAGTTAAAAATTTACGTAAATTACTGCCTTTTTTTTCTTCTTTTTTTGCTCTGTTTACAGATCATTAGCAAGAATTATACTATTTGCCACCATATCTTTTTTAATTTTAAACAAACTCTAATAAATTATTAAAAATAGAAAAAAAAATAACTTCAGGTAAATGTTTTGTTAATGCTTTTTTTGTCATTGTTTTTAATATTATTT